AAAACACTTTGCAAAACTCTTGATGAAACCACACAGAGGAAAAGGCTGCAGTGGGCAGAACAAGCCATTTAAATCTGGCCAAAAACTGGCTTGAGACAAAATCATTTTTGGTCCAACTGGAATAAGTGAAGGCACCGGAGAAAAAGCAAGACAGGCATAGCATTGGTTTAAAGAGCAACCATGATGGAGACATGTGGGGTAAAATTAAGGCCTGCCTCTGTATAGTCTTGGCCCTTGTTGGATTTGATGGGGAGCATTGGTCCCTTGTTGCAGCAGTGTGATCAGAATGCCACAAAGGAGCGTCAAATAGCTCCATGGCATTAATTTGCGGCATCGGCAAGGCTGGTAACATGCTGGCTCAGTCCATGGAGACCCCTAACACGACAAGCCCTGAAACGTGCTGCCATGTCAGTGGGCTTCAATCCCACTGCCACATGGCTCTGTCGTAGTCTCCGCAGAGCCACGCCACTCTGTGGTATCGGGTGGTATTAAAAGGTGAAACAAACAAACAAATGGGGTTCATAAGCAGAGGCAAAAGCTGCTCCTGTCTACCTGGGTGCATGAAATGAATATACCTGTCAGGTGACCAGGTGAAGTTGAGGCCAGCTCACCTAACCTTCTGCAGGGGGCAGCAGCTGCCGCTTGTCATGGCGTGAGTTGCAGAGAGAATGAGTAAAACTGTCCCTGCCAGCGCTGCGCCTCCAGCACCAGACAAGGAGCGGGCTCTCCGTCTGTCCATCCGTCCGAGCACGCGGCCCTCGTCTGAGTTGCACAGGAGCATGCACAGGAGCAAGGTCTTCATCGGGGAGACGTTCCTGGGGATTGCCCTTTACGATCAAAATGTCGGCTCTCAGCAATGCCAAGGAAGAGGCAGCACCCCTGAGGTTAATGCAGTTGGCGCCTACATCGCTAAGCCCCTGCCACAATTTTAGCTGCCTGGAGATCAGTCAAGTCCCTGCACCACTCGTCTCCAGCCGAGTAACTGGATGCACGGTGAAATGTTTTATTAACACCCGAGACATTTGGAGAGGTGTACTATGAACAGAACGAGATTTGGCTGTCTTCAGTGGTCATGCACAGGCGCAAACTGGGGGGCAGTGGGTGAAGCAGGAATGTTCAGGTAGAAGAGCTGCAGGCGGAAGGTGCCGCTGTTTTCTCCTCTTGCTATTGCAGCCACCTGGCCTCTTTAACAGAGTTTTACATGGGCCCACACCATTGTCTCCCAATTCCAACCCTCATATTTTCCTACCACTTCAGCTAAGGAGGAAAAGATGAGGGTACCTGCACAATGTCTTCTGGGCTTCAGCACTGTCTAGAAGCACCAACCTCTCCAGAAGGCTCCAAGGCCAGGAAGATGCCTGGCTGGGAGAGGAGTAGCTGGAAGGAGCAGAAGGAAAGAAAGTGCAGGGGACTCCCAGGGGCAGAAGTGGGGCTCAGCGTCCCCCAGCTCAGAGGCTTCTCCAGCTGGAAACTGAAGGCCTTCCCTGCCCATGTTTGACACCGGACTCCCATCAGCCCCAAGCAGTATGGCCCTTGGCCACAGATAATGAGGCTTGCAGTCCCACATCTGGAGGGCCACGGCTTCGCTGCCTATACTTTGTCAACAGACACTCCCCTCACTGAAGAACTATACGTAACCCTGAATCTAACGTTCCAAATACAGCATGCGAATTGTTTTGCACACTGCTCTTGCCTGTGCTTTCTCTGTGTGGCCACTCTCTCTGTGTACAGCCCTCCAGGCAGAGGTCAGCATGTGAATCAGACTCCTTGACTGGCTGACTCCACATTCTAATTTTCCCTGAATCAGGGGTAGCCAACATGTGGCCGCCACCTGTTTGGGCCTACAACACCCATCAGCCCCAGCCAGCATAGCCAGTGGAGAGGGATGATGGAAGCTGTAGGCCAAAATGTCTGGAGGACCACAAGGAGAATTAAAATAAGCAGGGATTTTGCTAGGGGTGAATCAGATTCATACATTCACATTCCAAAAATCACCAAGCTCAGGTTCAAGTCCAGTTAACGGAAGCATCTGGAGGCAGCACTAAAACCTCAAAGGAGATGACAAGGAAGGTTCAGCCACTAAGCATGCCCACCTGGGAGTAGGTCCTGACGAGCTAAGCGGGGCCTACGTCTGAGTGGGCCCACACAGGACTGCACTGCAAGTTGTAAATAGTGCCTCAAACTGGCACTATTCTCTAGAGCAGTGATGGCGAACCTGTTAGAGACCGAGTGCCCAAACTGCACCCAAAACCCACTTATTTATCGCAAAGTGCCAACACTGCAATAAAACCTGAAAACTGAGGTTTTAGTTTAGAAAAAACCTCACAGCCATTCCAAGCAAATGTATATAAATCCTTGGCAGAGCACTGACTGGCCATGCGAAAGCTTGGAGGAGTCGTGGCTAATGAGTCGCGGCTCGTGACGTCACTGCCTGGTGCCACTACTCCTTTCTGAGCATGCGCATGGCCCCTATGTGTGCTGTTATCCGATGTTTGGGATACATATAGATGTATGCTAATAGATGTTTGTAATCCACATTAAAGGCTTGGGAGGTAGTTGAGGGTTAAGCACCAGCTCCATCCTGAAAATGCATTATTGAGAACACTGGATAGTGACTTACCTCGCATGCCTTGAGGCAAAATTATCAAAAGCTCAGTAAGAAATTTCTGCCTGTATAGCATACCGCCCTGAGACATCTGACCATTTTAAAATACTGGATGTGATTTTTAAAATTTCAAAGTAAAATCTAAATTGCTTTAAGTGCTTATAAACTATAAACACTTTCTATTAACCCACCATCGCCATTAATTTAAAGCATTTACTACCTCAATGTCAATGCAGCCCCTGTCATCCAAATTCATTATGTGCTCTTCCATGTAGCCTGTGGCTCCATTTATATAAACTCTGAATTTGTCTGATTTTTTAAAATGTCGCCCTCCCCCAAAAGCTTTTGGATCAATGAAACTGCATGTGTTAATTACAGTCTGTCCCACAGTTTTCCCCTTGTCAGTAGAGTGCAGATCCAGAAAAATGATCAAATTCAGATTCTGCATTCAAATCCACAAGTAATCCAAACTACTCCCACTGAAAAGGGACAGTTTCTACCATTTTGCCAAGTGGTTAGGAAATAATCTTTATTATATACTTTGTACCTTAGCTCTCCAAGCAGGCAACTGAGATTAGTTAGTTGAATTAGTTATGCCGTTTATGTCCCAAAAGGTCTCTTTAGCACCAGGCTGCTGTCTGACAGAGGTCAGCAAGCAGGAAGGCAGAGAAAGGGAGCTGGGAGAAAGGTGGCCAGGGCTTGATTTTTTGTTGTGGCGTCCAGGTTCCCCACTAGTAAGATCACTGGAGATGTTTTCTGGCAATTTAGAACTTTTTTGCTGTTGCTTCTTGTTCCTTAAACAAGTCTATCTGTAAGAGAGAGAAAATGTTGTTAGCATCAAATGTCATCAAGACACAATTACCTAACAGATGCTTGAAGAGCCGTCAGGGATATTTGGATATTCTTCACTAATATTCTGTGAGAACATGAAGCTCATCAGTGACTTTGGACCACTCACTGCTCTCAGCCTTACCTACCCCACAGGGCAGTTGTGAGGATAAAATGGAAAGGAGGAGTGGGGGAATCCTTGGAAGCTCCTTGGAGGAAAGGGAGGATATAAATACAAGGAAATTAGCTATGCCAAAAACATGGCACTAAATATAAGTGCTTAGCACTGCTGTTCAGTCCACAGCCATGCACCTGCACAGCACCAACAAAACCCTTTTCCCAGCTGGGGATGATGGGAGGTGCAGTGCATCAGATCTGGAGGACACCAGTAGGCATGGTCAAACCCAATTTGATGTGGCAGTCAATAGGGTTAATCCTGCAAAAACTTGGCTGAGCTTGCAATAAGTGTGGCTGTTTTATTTTTTCATCCTGCCTTGGAGTTTCTGCTGCTGCCTCACATCCTGGTAAAGGCAGGCTCCTCCTCCCCGGCTGTCACCCAGTTGCTGCCACTGCCTCTCCACCTGGTCTTCAGCCTTACAGGCAAAGCCTGTTTCCAAGCTGATGATCTGACAGCACTCCCTGTACTGCTTTAGAGTAAAGTGAGGGGCAGTCACATGCCCCTGCAGTTGGAAAGCTAGAGTGTCAAGGAGAACATTGCCCTAGAATCCTTCTCCCTGACACGTCATTGTCTGCAATCTGGGATCTAGTTATATTTTTTGTAAAAGGGAACATGCCAGCCCACCATCTGAAGCAGTTCAGGCCAGTGATAAATTTACTGCCTTGGTCAGAAATAGGTTTTTTTCCTTAATGAAGAGACAGAAGGATTACCACAAGATTAAGAACAGAGAAAGCATCTCCTGCAGGAGATACAAGCACCAGAGACTACAGTCATGCCAGGCACGTGAAACCTGATGGCACAGGTGGGAAATCTCTGGGCTGCAGGGGGTCCCCATCCAGCCCACCACCTTCTCCCCAGGCCCTGCCCTCCAGCCCAAGCTTGTGATCAAAGGGAAGGGGAGTTTTCCTCACTTCCCCCTCTCCTGCCCACTGTGCTGCCTGAGACATTTTGCAGGGCCTCATGCTCTTCTTCCCACCTTCGCTGACTTTGAACAAGCCCTCTGCCTCTTTCCAACACCTTTAAAAGCAGGACTAGTGTAAATTTGCAGACTGAAACCTATGGTGATCCCAAAAATACACTGACCTGTGTCACAATAAGAGCTAAGAACATTCTAGAGTGTTACCTCAAGATACCAAATGTCTCTGTGTACCCAGCTTGTAACTACTGAAACCTTGTGTCAGTTCCATTTTGCCAAGCAAGTTTTCTCAATGCGGCTGACAAGCTCCTAACCTAGGCTATGCGAGGTTCTTCTAACAGCCTGGTCCACTGAGGTACTTTCCTATTTGTCAAATGCAAGATAGGTTTGTTTGTTAGTACATGTCTAAGTTACGCTCATCGTGTGCTGAGGAACTGTGTGGATTCACGAGTATGAAGGTAGGGCTCTGCCGCTTACAGATCAGTGTCTTCTATGACATGAGGGTTTTCCAAAGTCTGTTTCCTCCTCTGGACAGCATCCAGAATCTTTTTCCTGGGCCCCAGGGGAATGTTGATGCTCTTCAGATCATTGTCTGAACATAACATGAGAGCTTCCAGATCGATCTTCTCCTTCTTAAGGATAGAAATGAACTCAAACATGTGCAAGGAGGCCAAGAAGGTCTCCAAGGGACTGGTGTCCGGTTCACTATCGTCCTCCAGGCCCAGTTCCACCTCATCCCACGGCAGCTCCTCCACATTCCTCTCCTGCAGGCTGTTGGCACTGCCGATGCTGTCATTGAGACTTGGCGAGCGCTGCAGGCGGCTGTGAAGCTTAACACCCATCCTCTCATCCATCCCCTCTCCCAGCAGGCTGGGATCATCCTGGCCAATCCCAAACAACCCGCTACTGACATAGTTTCTCCGGAAAACCATGGTGCCGAGGCCAGGACGATTGAATAAAGAATCGTGCCCGGAATCAGTGCTGACCTCAGAATGGGCTGAGTCCATGTGCAAACCTGGATCGCTTATGGCACGGGAGACAGTGTCGTCGTCCGTCAGAAACATATCCCTAACGTTGCGCCGAGTCCACTCCTTGGGACTCACGTAGGTGCCTTGCTTCACAAACATGACATCGTTGCCCAGCTGTAAGCCAGACAAGGACCTCACGCTTTTCCTCCCATCCTCATAGATCTTGAAGGTCCCGTCTACCTGTTTCTTTTTCTCCAGTTTCTTCTGGATTTTGGTCTTGCCCTTGGCTGTGCCATGTATGGTGGCCTGAGAGTATGGCAAAGATGTCATCATCGACATGTGCTGAAACTTCCTACTCAAAGTGCTGCTGGAGTAGCTGGAGAAGCTCATGGTGTCTGAGTGGTCAGACATCTCCTTCTTGTACCTCTTCTCCATCCTCTCATGGTGCTTTTTCTGCAGTTTTACACAGTCCTTAATGCGTTTCTCCGCATCCTTGAAGGCCTTGTCCTTCAGCTTTCCTACCAGTTTAGGGTTCAGGCTGCTCTGCTTGGCAGCAATGGAGTCCAAGTAGCGCACACATTCCATGTGGCCTTTCATGGCGGCCATGTCCAGCGGGGTGTGGTAGTCATTGTCCAGGCACCAGATGTTGGCTCCAAAAGACACCAGGAAGGAGAGGCAATTCAAATGACCATTGGCTGCCGCCAGGTGCAGAGGCGTGTTCCCCCAGATATCACATTTGTCTGGGTCACCCCTAAAATGATACAGGAAGCAAATGGTTAGTGCTCAAGGAGATTTCTGTATCTCACATGAGGGTGTTGGTTAGGGCTTAAGGAAAGGCATAAACAAAGCTCAGGGAACCAAGATCTAGGGTGGGTGGCAGGAAGTACTTCCTGACAGTTAGGACCCCGAGGGTATGGAATGGGCTTCCATGGGATGTGGTTGAGGCCCCATCGGCGAGGTTGTTCAAGGACAGGCTGAATATGCACATGGTAGGCATGTCATGAGTGGAGCCGGCTGGAGCCGGCGGTCAGACTAGATGGCCCAGGAGACCCCTTCTGACTCACTCTGTTTCTATGTTTCTGAACCAAAGGTGGGCAACTTGCGTTCTTTGAGATGTTGTAGGGCAATTCCCATCAGACCTAGCCAGCTTGACCAATGGTAAATGATAATGGGAGTTGCAGCCCAAAAACTTCTAGAAGGCCCAAAGTTCATTCTTACATGTTATTTTCCAGTGACAGTTTACCTATGCTTCTGCTATCACAATATTTTGCCAGTTGTTTTTGAAAGTTGATAGCTTAACAAAAGGAATTATAACCGTTATCCTTCCTCAAGGAAACCTCCTATTCATCTCTACACTCACCTAATTACAGACCACTTTACTTAAGCCCCGTGAGACATACTGTTAACACCCTAAGATGCAACACCTGCATTAGATGCATTCACAACCCAAACATCTGAGTGGAAGCATCTGCTCACCTGAACACATTGTCACCCCACGCCTTTGAATGAACACATGGCTTATCATTCAACCATAGCCATTCCAGGACTGTTTGCCCACAACACACATTGCAATAATGAAATAATCAAGCTAACACATGTTTTATGATGAGGAAAATGGCAGGACTGTATACAGAACTGGTACCTGGGTGAGAATTACCAGCGACATGACTTTCTCAATACCCGTTCCGCTACCATGGCATATTGTGATAAGAAGACTCAGTGTAAGCAGGAGCATTCCTAAGGGTGACATAATAGCTCAGTAGCTAAAATATATGACGACACTGACTACAGCTGCAGAACAGACATTTCTAGCTGAGCATAACATCTGGAAATGCTTACATATGCATAAGATGACTCTGTGGAAAACACCCAAATTCTCCCCTTAGATTCTCATTTCCATGGGCCTCATTCAGCACTCTTTGTCTCCAGCCTACCGATCAGAGATTCCCCATCCTTGAGCTAACAGGTTCTGGGAATGGCATGAGAAAGATCCCTACCTGTGAATCCCAAAATAAAGCCCAGACGGGAAGGTTTGGCAGCATAACAACAGACCCTCCGTGGTTAGCCTAAGCCAGCTTGCCTCTGCTGGGGAGTCTGCCTGGTGTCTTCATGAGTTTATTACAAACTGTTCGGGGATCAGGAGGTGAGCTCACGGAGCAGGGTGGGCACTGGTCCCCGATATCCCAACACCGGACCCTTGGCTGGATCCTCAAGGAAGGTCTCAGGTTGCTGCTTCTACCTTTTCTCCTTCACAATACTGCAGTTCTTTGACTGCAGCCTCTTCCCCTCCTGCTCCTCCTCCACTCTGTTGTTTAGCCAGTGGGATTCTCCTCCACTTGGTCTTCTGCTGGGAGGTGAAACATGGCCAACGTCATCATCCCTTCCTCAGCTGGCCCCGAATGCAAGGGGGCAAGCGAGAGTTTGGGGGTGGCAAAGATGACCCACACAAACCGTAGACATGGGTTTCGCCAGATATTTGGGACTAGAAGTCTCATCAGCCCCAGCATGGCCTCTGGTTAGGGAAGCTGGGAGCTGTAGTCCAAAATATCCAAAGGGCACCAAGTTAGGGAGGGAATCATTACCATTTATAAATTGTCTATGCCCACCTTCTCTGGCCTGGTGCCTTCCAGATGTTTTAGACAGCAGCTTCCAACATTGTTAGCCACAGCCATGCTGGCCAGAGCTGGTGGTCATTGTAGTCCAAAACTCTCAAGGGCACCAGGCTGGAGGAAGGCTGGGGCAAGCTGCACCACCTCGGGGCATTGTCTACTGGGCATTCTTGACCTTTCCTCCAGGCAGAGCTCAGGCAAGCTGGACCCTGCCTCACAGAAGGGTCCCAGAATTCACAAAGGACTAGCAGCAGCTCCTCCCTCCTCCAGCTCTTTCAGTTTCAGAACTCCAAGATCAGCAGCAACACATGCTGAGAATCCCATTTCAAGAGGGAGGGAATATGAAGTTGTCCTCCAGCCACACCATGGCCCAGCCTTCAATAGTGCCACCGGCTGGGTATGAAGTGAGGCTAATCCTTTTCCTAGCTGGGGATGATGGGAGATATAGTCCAGCAAATCTGGAAGGTGTACAGTGGAGGAAACACTGATTGTAACCAGGCGCGGCTAAATCCAATTTAGTATGTCGATCGATTGGCTCGGTCCTGCAAAAAAATATGCTTAACTAATGCTTACCTATACTAAAAAAAAAATTATTGTTTTTTTGTTTTGTTTTGTTAATCTGCCTTCCCAGGAGTGGAAGACAGCACACCTGGCTCTCTCCTCTGCCATCCTCCATGATCCTTCCTCCTTCACATCTTCATTCTCCCTTAAGTTGGCCATATTACCTCCCTGTCTAACCTGCCTTGTGATGTCCATGAGCGGATAAAATCAGGCAAGGTGGGGTAGTTCTCATACTGCCATGAACTCCTTGGGGGGGAAGCACTCCCACCTGCACCGCCACCATTTTGTTTTTTGTATTGTAGTACCAAGGATCTTGCTTGTTCTAGCCGAAGGCAGGAGACACACATTTTAAAATTAAAACCCATGCACACACATAAAGAATAGAATCATATGGCTTCTCAGGTTGTCCCCCGATCTTGGTCAGTTACACAAGTGCCTGAGACATGATTCTGGAGCCTCCAGGCACTGCCCAACCCTGACCTCTCATCAACTTCAGCAACATTTTGCCCAAGCCCAGCCACAGAGTGGGGGGGAGGGGGGGATGCAGCTGCCCAGCCACAGTGTGATGAATGGGGGGGGGGGGGGGCTCCTCCTGCTCTTTGGTCTTGGTGGACAATGCCCCCAGGACTTGGTGACAGGTTCATCCCGACTCCTTAGCTAGCCCGTCCTCTTCCTTTCACCTTCGTATCAGCCTATCAGTAGTGGGGAATTCAGGGAAAATATAAATATTGGATGAATTGCAAGAGAGGGATAAATTATAGATGGAGTCTAGTTAAAGAGCCACTGAAACTGGAAATGCCTGTGCAGGCGGCGAGCATAAGGAGTGCAAGGCTTTGTTTAGGCTTGTTCTCAGTGAGCACACGTGTGTGCCGCACCTGGGTGGGCATCCAAACAAGAGGAATTGGGCCACAGGAGCACCTCCTCTCTTCCCCCTTCTCTTTCTCTCTCTCACGGAGACCCATGGCTTATTTCCTGGCAAGGTAACAACTGCACACTGTGGTTGTCTCAGAGCAACCTGGACTTTGGGTCGCTCAAGACCACGGGCAGGATAAAGCGGCTGTGTGTGAGACACTCGCTCTCTTCAGCACCCCACATCCAATGTGGCCGGCCCAGGCCTGTGTGTTGAAGGGCTGTCCCCTCCCACGTTCCATGCAGTGGCCTGTGAATTCCCCACAGGCAAGTGTGACAGTCACCCGGCACTGAGGTAGTTTTGGCCCACTTCAGAAGTATTTTCGTACCCTGAGATAATCTAGCATAGGAACAAATATGTCCAGCTCTGCCGGTGAAAGACACGCAGACTCCTTATTTCCCTGTAAAAATGGACTTCTTGACTTGCCTGCTCAAGTGCCTCAAGAGCCCACAGCAAAACAAAACATTTTTTTTTTTTTTTGTGCCACAGGAAAAGAAATCAAGTGCAATTCGTCTGCTATTTGGGAAAATTACCAACCGATTTAACATCAAATTATATACTTCAGAGCTGGAAAGAATCAGTATGCCTAATGCTGTTTCCTAATTAATTTGCTCACTACCTACAGAGACCTCCCATGATATTTTGCTGCTCAAGGCAGAAAATCCGACATCCATCACCATTGTGGTAAATGTAGATCGTGCCTGATAGAAGTGCAGGAAGGCTGCCTTGCCCTTCCCAGTGCTAGAGCTGGCTCTGGCACTTGGGTTTCCCAAAGCTGCTACCACTGCTGGATCATTCCTGTCTGTGCGGGCGTCCTTTTCCTTTTCCCTTTTCCCTTTTCCCTTTTCCCTTTTCCCTTTCCCCTTTCCTTTTCATTCAACCTGTGCTTCCTCAAGGTTCTTCAGAGAACTGGCGGTGTATGGATCAGTACCAGAGGGACGGAGCAATGCGGAAGGACGCCCTTCTCCAAATAGTCCCCTTCCATATATATACACTGGCTGGAATCTCCATCATTCCTAGCCAGGCTGACTAGGTATGATGGGAATTCCAGCCCATCACATCTGGAGGGCACCAAGTTGGAGAAGGCTGAGGTGGCACATGCTCACTGACAGATTCTGCATTGCCCAGTTGCACTCCAGAAATGGATCTCATGCTGCAGAAAGAATGCCAAGTGCTGTTCAGTGCTCCTTGCTTTCTTCGCCAGCATAGGGTTTCTGTCACCCACTTGTACGTCCTCCTTTGTTGTCTGGTGGAAAGATGTGCCACGCTCCATCACTGTGCTGTTGCGTGTAAGGGGGAGGCAAGAAAAACAGCAAAACCAAAGCAACCCAGTGGAGCAAAGGGCTAGAAGAGGAGGGGATCTGTGTCAGCAGCTCTCTTTCCCAACCAACTTAAACCAGAAACTCCACTCTAGGGACTACCCAGTAAGCCCAATACCCAGATTGAAAAACATAATTATGTGCAATTATTGCATTGCAAAACTGGAGCAGGAATCAGAAAGCCTCGGGAAGCGCCGTGGGGAAGTCCCTTTGGAGGGGACATGCGTACCAGCCTGGCATCTGGGGAAGTATATGAGATGGCAGATCGCTGTGAGTTCCAATCAATGAGAACACAGGTTTAATCACAGATGATAATGATGTGAATGGGCCACAATGCTTCTATATATTGCAC